ACTGTGCAGCATTTAAGGGGCAAGATGATTCCTTAAAACATCGGGCCTGTTTAAACCGAAGATTTAAACACGATGCTTCAGAATCCAATAAATGGATGAAACGTGGACATCTCGTACCGTACGTTCCGATTTTGGTAATTATATGATTGGTTGGTTGCTGGAAGCATCAAAGCTAGAAAGGTTAAGTGATGCTCCATTTTCTTCTGACGGTTGGAACATGAGCACTAACTCTTGTCCTAGCCTTTTATGACTTATGGCTATAGCGCCATTACTCGCTTTCTGAAAAGAGAATAGGGAAAAGAAAAGGAGAAGGATAAGGACAAAGGGAAAAGGATTATGTAAACTCTGTGAACATAAACAATATTTTTTATTTGAAATATAAAATATAGAAATGAATAAAAGCGGTGGTGGTCACTACCCGAGTCTTGTCCCTATAATCAAGTAATAAAAAGTAACAAGCACTAAAACGGACTGATTGGCGCATCTGAACTAAAACGTTGTTACCATTAGTTCTACCGTTTTCAACCGGGTTTGCACTTTTTTCTTCAAATTATTGCAGTTTCTCGCATCATTTCTGCTGCTATCAGTTCTGAGTATCTATGCAGTAGAGTTGATTGCTTGGAAGAATTCACACTTATGCAGGAATCTGTTGGAAACCGAGGATGGCTATTTCGTTTCTGTGAATGTTGTGAGTGTATACATTTACTTATTTTCTTATTATTTGTTTTTAACTTATAGATCATTTAAATTTAAATTTAATAATCGTCTTGCCTCCAATTTTGCGGAATGTTTAAAGAATAAGAAAATTTCAAATAAAATTGTACCTGTACTTAAATTCTCTGCGCAAACCATACATAATATATTTATTATCATAACATTATATAACTGGAATTTATTGCATGAACTAGGTGATTAACGAAAGTTTTTATCATTTAAAATAACAAAATATCAAATATGGTGCACTTCAACTACCGGACGCTGTACCCTTGCAGGCGTTGCTTAGGAGTTTAAAAAATTATAAGTCATCTGTCAATTAATGAGAACCAGCACTTCAAAATTTAATTCTACCTAAAGCTTCTTCAAAGTTGATTGAAATCATCGGCTGCATTGCAAACTTGAACTTCCAATACCTGAACTGTTATATGCCCAAGTAACCATCGACCCCACTAATGTAAAAAGTGTAATATAATGCTCATATAAGGGTAGTATAAAAATGGAAATCCGTATATTAGCCGTATATTGCAAAAAGGGCCCTTAACGAGCGTATTGGTTACTTAGGTGCTGCGACATTTCTGATAGAAAAATTCGGATTCATCAATCCATCAATCCCAAAAACCAACCGATGCGTGCTTAGCGTATATCCATCACTATTGAGAATTGATGAAGTATTCGGTTTTGATACAGTTGTTATTCATGCCATCATCGCAAGGAATCGATTCTAATTGAAAGGTCCCGCTATTTATACCATTCGAAGAGTGAGAGCATCCTCCAAAGACACGCCCCTTTGTCAGTCAAAATTGGATTCCATAGCAACAAAATTAAGCAATGACACCGATAATGACCATGCATCAGAACCCTAGTATTAACTACTTCAACCTAGGGAGCAACGAATAGAAGATTAAGGATCACATAGATGAATACTAACTAATCCATTTTTTCCTTGTCTCAAGATCATCATCGGTGGACAAAGCCGAGTCTTGTCACTATTAACTCAGCAATGTAAAAGAGCCTAGGTTACACATACGAGCTTCTGCTCAGTGCTCAGTACGCAAAGTGGTTGCGTTTTGGCCACCGAGCGCTGTACATCATAGTAAACCACTATTAAATTAAATTACGTTACCAGAAGACGTTAACTATGATTTCAGACCCGGATCGAGCATGCGTCATATTTTACCAATTATTCATTTTTTTCCACACAGTTCTGACGGAGTACAATCAGTATCGATTTTCCACGTTCCCTTCAGTACACTTTAAAAATAAGATGGAGTCTCGGATTTAACCCACGCACGATCTTCTACTCTGTTAGCAAAAAATGTTGTTACTAGGCCAAAGAGGTTCTTCCATCACAATCTATCACTACGAATTATGATCGTCCGAATCCTACAACATGAACCTATTCAAATTCAAATTCGTAAGTAAGCTAAAAGCCATAGGGGAAATGGCTCTAATGTTGGCCTATGGATCTAAGATTGGGCACATCGCTAAAAATCTATTTTTTTATCAATTTTATCTAGATGAACGCGTCAGGACGGTACTAATGGATATTTTTGGTCGCTATTGAAAATTTAGTCGATTGCTGAATCTATGTATGGGCCCAAATTAGGGGCATTTAGGCCTACAGTAGTCGGTAGGAGGTAAGGTTCAGGTGTGGAGCTGCCTCCCTGGCGTCAGTAGCATTGGTGTTCAACACGGAAGACAAGATCGACAAAAACAAATCAAGGAAAAAAAAACTAAAAAATCTCATACATGCCTCATTACACCTTCATTAATAGAGTGGTATCTAAAAAACGTGCCTTAAGGTGTATACTAGACTTTAACTCAGGAAACCATAAGAAAGTCAAATATGTATGGTAAAATCTGTATGTGCGACATTTGTTGCAATGTGAAGGAGCCTGGGATTGAAACTACGATGTTCTACTCAGTATGGTCTACGGTCGCTGCTAGGTATTCGAACCCTATAAAGCACTACGACCTTTACGAACACATTGATCTTTTATTGCTGTTCAAATCTGATGACGGCAACGATATATCATTTAAAAAAAACAATTACTACGGCATTCACATATAATTCTTCCTAGGAAGGATTCACTATGATAATCTAAATCAAATACCGCTGATGTAAATCCCACCTGCCCTCTTTTGCCGAAACACCACGCCACAAAATAGATACTACACACTCTTGCACAAAGGCTATTAGGTTACATATTGCCACCCTAAAGAAAAAAAACTATTTTCTTTCAAAATGTTCTATTTCAGGATTTATCTCGCATTTATCTTTTGTCTTTTGTGAAATAGGCTGGTGTACACGATTTCGTCACCAAATTAAACATATACTTACATTCACTTAAAAAACTACAAGGGCAGCCCTATGGAGTTGTACGCAATGGTGACGTAGGACTACTTGGTCTTACATAATAAATCTTATTTGTTAACTGCAGCAGGCGCTTGTGTTCTGTGTAGGAATAGGAATAGGTATTTGAGCGGGGTTCTCTCTGTTTATACTCTATAGTATGACGCGCTTGACAAAGATGGCCCACAGCGACTCACGAAGAGCTACTGATTCCGATCAATAGCTGTGCGACTTCTTCCTCCTTCTATGGATGGTCATGTGGGCTGTAGCTCGCTGCTTGCAGACAGCCTTTCGTTGTGTACTAGAAAACACCACCACTCACCACGCGGTGATTGAATAAACACCGTTTGGTGAGACCGGATGGAATTCAACTTTGAAATCTGTGTTAGGGAAATCGCTTTTCGCAAGCAATCGGTGATAATTTTAATTATCATAGCAACAGTTGGACATTCGTGCAATTTTGAATAGTGACATTTTGAAAAATGATAAGGTAGGTAGGCGTAGAAATATTTTTGATCGACTGGTGATAAAATTACTGAAGTTTTTCCAGGGGCAGCTGAGTGATTAACGTTCAAAATCTTTCATAATGTTGTTACATGTTCCATTTACGGTTTTTAAAATCTAGAAATCTCAGACGTAGGCCTAAGTAAAAAAAAAAGTGTTTTAATTTTTCAAGCACATATATAAAATATTTGACAACACTACACAAAACAATAGTTTTATTTTATTAGTTCAATTTCTTTCAGAAATTTAGCAAAGCAATACTTCAGGACGGTGATTCCATATAGTGCGATGTAAGAGCATTTTTTGCAAATTTGTATCTTCTTTACCTCCAAATGCTATAGGTATGTCAAGAACTACACATTTTACTTCTCGTTGCTAAGTAAAAAAAGACTGGAAACACTATAATACCAACAACAACAAAATCGCATTTGAAGATTTCAAATGCAAATTAAAAATATGTAGAGTCACTACACAAGAAATAATTTCCGTTTTAGATTTATTGTTCGATTGTCGTAGTAGTACTCAACCATGTCTCAAGACGGTTCATTTGTTCCGGAGATATTTATAAACAGAAAATGCTCCCCTTATCTGAGAGGGTTGTTTCATCGGCATCTAGATTCTTAGAAGTTTTGGTCTGGAATCAGTATCTCCATAAAATGGGGATCTTTAATCGAAAATCGTGCCCACATTTGCCATTTTGCATTCAACCGATATCTTATATCTTCGATTTATTATTTTGATAAACTGTACTAATTCACACTCTTTTCCTTTTTACAGGTAAGTCAAATTGAACATACTTCAAAGGAACAATCATTACTAACATAAAACAAAAGTAAGTATAGAGTAAGATAAAACGAGTGCAATTGATATGTAGAGCAGTTCCACGCCAAATGGCGAATCGAAAACACGACCTTCTCCGATGTGCACGAAACTTTGCCTAATTGTTTGCAATGATTCATATTCGGCCCGTTTGGATCATGCTAAATTTTTAAAATGGCGTCTTCGATTTTTTTTTTATTTGTGCCACGGAAGCTGCACTTCTGATTAAAATGACAAACAAATGTTTTTAGTTATTTCAAGTAAAAATAAAAAAATACAATTTAAACCTAAATTTCTCAAAATATTGCTGTCTGATTTTTATTTTATTTTTTATTTAAAAAAAAGCTCAAGCAGCTATTGGAATGTTTAAAGTTATGGACACTTCAAAATAGACAAAAAACATAGAACAAGAACTTTTGGTAATTTTTTTGATCTTTTTGATAAACCATCCAGTCAAAATGTCAAGCCCGAAACCAGTCAAAATGTAATTTTTCCGCCCGTGGCGGTATGCTTTTATGAAATTCATCCTGGACCCATAATGGTCATGTCCATTTACTCAACAGAATGTATTCCCACCAAAACTGACATATTAATTTGCTTGTCATCTGCACAATTATCAACACGGTGTCGTTAAATATTCTGCATTAGGCTAGCTTTATTGCGGTATCTATTTGTGTGGTTGTATCAAATTAGCGTATCACATTTCAATCAGTCGATTAGTTTCCCCCGTTTCAGTTGTATTTCTTCAGCTTGCTGTAGCTATATCCCACTCCATGGTAGCCTCCCTCGAATCCACCCATCTGCTGTCCACCGCCCATGCCTCCTTCCATGATTGGGTGACCGATGTTCTTGACCTTAGCTTCGAAACCGTTCTTACCATCGGCGTAGTACTCAACGATGCGCTTGGTTCCATCAGCTTCATCCAGAGTGTATTCGCCCTTGACGACATCTCCATCGCGCATCTCCCACTGGCTCTTGTGATCACCGGTATGAATGTCCTTCACTCCATATTCGAACTTGTACTTCGGATACGAGTAATAGTCTTCAATACCTTCCTTCCAGCCTCCTCCCTGATAGTAAAACAACAAGTTAGATCACAAAAAGTCTAAATTCGCAAAATACAAACTCACCATTCCACCGCCGCTCATGCCGCCTCCCATTTCCATGCCTCCACCCATTCCGCCGCCCATTCCGCCGCCCATTCCGCCGCCCATTCCACCACCCATTCCGCCGCCCATTCCTCCTTGCATACCGCCGTACCACTTGTACGGGATATGTTTCACTTCACTGACGAACCCGTGATGCTCGTAGGCGCTGGACACAGCCACCAGAGCCAAACCAACTACTGCGAATTTGAACATTTTTTCTAAGAAGTAATTCTTCACTCTACAACTGTAATCAACGAACTGATGCCCATCCGTCACGTCGAGCTGCATTTTATAATAGAACCAAAAAAGTTTCACCAAAAAAATGTTCTGACTGACCATCGATTCCGAACTGCAATGCAAATCGCCTATGCATAAATTAGCGATCGATTTTAACGCCTCGATTCGTTTCGCTATCAAAGCGCAAAATTAGTGCGATCATAATCGCGCACTTGATGCAGTGAACCAGTAGAAATTATTATTTTTTTTACTTATTTTCTGTTTGCATTTTGATGCAGTGGCAGTGGGTGAATATGCCTCACCCAATGAGGCGTGGCCACCCACTGCTACTAGTGTCGGGCAGTATGTTACCCCAGACCCGGTGGCCGGTAATTAAATTGATCAATAATCACGCTGAAGGGTGTTGGCTTGCCGGACAACGCAATTAAAAAGCATGCAACGGAGAGAAAAGAGTGTATCGTGGGAAACCTTGATTCGGAAGGACTGATGAAATTTCCAATCGGAACTGGAATCGGAAATCAAATGGTTCAAATTGTTGAAATTTTTACTATAAATACCCAATTCTTCGGCGATAAAGGTATCAGTTTAGTGAGTTCAGTTCTTGGTAGAACAGCAAATCAGTTTCAAGTGTAGCAAAATGATGAAGACATCTGTGGTGGCCATTGCCCTGCTGGGTGCTGCTCTGGCTTACGAGCATCACGGGTTCGTCAGTGAAGTGAAACATATTCCGTACAAGTGGTGCGGCGGTATGCAAGGAGGAATGAGCGGCGGAATGGGAATGGGCGGCGGAATGGGAATGGGTGGTGGAATGGGCGGCGGAATGGGTGGAGGCATGGAAATGGGAGGCGGCATGAGCGGCGGTGGAATGGTGAGTTTATAATTCTCGATTAAGACGATTTGCGATCTAACAAAGTGTTCCTATCATCAGGGAGGAGGCTGGAAGGAAGGTATTGAAGACTATTACTCGTATCCGAAGTACAAGTTCGAATATGGAGTGAAGGACATTCATACCGGAGATCACAAGAGCCAGTGGGAGATGCGCGATGGAGATGTCGTCAAGGGCGAATACACTCTGGATGAAGCTGATGGAACCAAGCGCATCGTTGAGTACTACGCCGATGGTAAGAACGGTTTCGAAGCTAAGGTCAAGAACATCGGGCACCCAATCATGGAAGGAGGCATGGGCGGCGGACAGCAGATGGGTGGATTCGAGGGAGGGTACCATGGAGTGGGATATAGCTACAGCAAGCTGAAGAAGTACAACTAATCATACCAAGACTGATGTGAAACAAGACTGGAAATCGGTGTCGAATAAAAGCAGCATAATTTACGAAAGCATAAATCGGAACAGTTTGAGTCTTTGCAGCTTTTATCACAACCCCTCCTATCATGCAGATTTCTATTTATGTGGAGTCATATCAGATCGCTTAGGTCCAAGTGACAAAATTCCCGCATCGTTAAATTTCCCTGGAAATTGTTGTTTATTAATTTATTTGATAAGGCTCAAACGAATTAACTTTACAGAGCCGAGGATTCTGGGTCACTATACAATACATCTTAAAACTATAGTCAAAAGGTACAACACAATAAACACTTTATCTTCCGCTTTCCAAAAAGCTTCCTACATCAGAACTGGAGTCGCTGCCAGTGGTTTCATTGTATGGCAGTTACGCCATCGTGGACGCAAAACGTGGTCAACACTCACAAACTCATCACGAAACGGTTTCTTTTCAAAGTCGACGACGCATCGACCGAAAGAACTGCCGATGAAGAATAATGAGGAGGACCACACAATGGTTGCTGCCGAGAAAACAGACGATCGCGTGGCAGTGGCACACATCGAGAGTGGCTTGCTTTTGTCGACAGCCGTGTGAACACTGTTCCCTGGAAATTACGCAGCTTAAAAAATATGATCTGGAAATGAAACTAGATTCATTCTATGTGTATTCAAGGGTATGGCGGCTTCACTTTTAAAAACTTATTAGTTTGACATAAAATTTGAAAACTTGTTGTTGTTGATGTTTGAAGGACATTCCAATGGAAATTCTGCAAAGTTCTAAGGCATGAGACCAAATTTCAACGCAATAATTGGTTATGAAATTTGAGGCATCTTATGTTTTATTGATTCCTTCACTTAACCCTTTCATGCCCATACTCTTTGTGACCAGCAAGTTTTTCATAAATATTATTAAAGCAAGTGATATGTTGAACAAAAAATCTGTCAAAACGGAATTCAATGGCAATTATGCGAAGAGTTGCATGGTTATTCTGAAGGATAATTATGAGCAATATTCCAAGAGAAAATTCCTGAAGCGTTACTTGAATTTAAATTTAAGCGAATACCAGAGAGACTCTCAAGATTATTCTTGGCAAATTTTTACAAGATTTCTAAGAAAATTGTAAGCTGATTCATTGTCAATTCTTGAGAAAACTTCAATGAAAACCTGTGAAGAATACCATTAAAATGATTAAGATAATTCAGGCATTAGAAAAATCACAAATGTTCAAGATGTTGGGATCAGAATTTAAATTCCACATTACGCGTTAGAGACTTCTCATTCTTAGACACTTTTTCAATACGCCAAACATTCAAACTTTAATAAGAAACGATGAAAAGCCATAACAAGTTTCCGCGATGTGTTTGTCGAAGATTCTGCTACATAACAAAAATCTTTAGTGTTTGAATCCTTAAAATCAGGGTCTCCATCCAACCGGGAAAACCAGGAAATCCGGGAAAAAACCGGGAATTCGGATTTGCCGGGAAAAAACCGGGAGAAATGCGGGAAAACCCACATTGCACCGGGAAAAATCATAAATAATCATCCCAAGTAACAATTTTGGTTTTATCATAGTCTTGTAGGCCAAAATTTGGTCTTGAAGAATCATTTAAACCTTCATAAAACTTGCAATGTTACTTGGAATCAATCAATTTTAAATCACATATACCATAAAACAGCAAAAAAGGTTATCTTCCATTTAATTCCACTTAATTAATTTTGGTATCCATGACAGATACGTATTTCGACTACAATGTGCAGTCTTCATCAGTGTCATTCCCACTAAAGAACTTATCAAAATCTAACCCCCTTAAGTACTCATCCCCTAGGTATAAAAGTCAAGATCACAGGTATATAAATGAAACTACAATGTGTTGAATCGGAACCTTGTACATTGTAGTTTCATTTATATACCTGTGATCTTGACTTTTATACCTAGGGGATGAGTACTTAAGGGGGTTAGATTTTGATAAGTTCTTTAGTGGGAATGACACTGATGAAGACTGCACATTGTAGTCGAAATACGTATCTGTCATGGATACCAAAATTAATTAAGTGGAATTAAATGGAAGATAACCTTTTTTGCTGTTTTATTAAAGCATTCCGCTAACAACCCAATTTCATTACTCCATCACATATACCGTTACATTCTCATGTTTACACATCTGTTCACAACTTTCATATTATGTCTTTCACTGTGGTAAAGTATAAAAATCCACAAATTTATTGCACATTTTTTTCTCACTCGCAATATGTTCATGCACGGGGCAATTGGTGATTTTGCCGTTATTCCTACCACGATTTTTTTTAGACTTTCGTTTGGTGAGACTATAATAAAAAATAAAATAAAGGCATTTTGGAAAACCTAATAAGCAAAATCAAAAATATTAAGGAGTTTCACAAAGGTTTAACCATTCTATCATTTAGTCGAATCATCGTATACCTTGTTGAATCTGCAGCACTTCAAGATCAGATATCCGGCAAGGTGTCGACTACCTGAAAAACCTGGAATTTCAGGGAATTGCATTTCAGTCCTGGAAAATCAGGGAATTTCTTTAGAAATCAGGGAAATATTTCTTAATCCTCTTTGAAAAGTATTACTGATCTCACTAGTCTCATACAATTTAATTACTCGGTGTAGTTTTAGGATGTTTGTAAATTTATAAAATCTTCCATAGAATCGTGAGCTTGTGGGTGCTCAATTGGATCATTTTAATTGGTTAAATAAGGAGCATAGTCTTCTCCAGCTGCATATGTATAGTTAGTATCAAAATTACAGATGCATTACTATGATTTTACACGCCAGTGCTCGTGAGATTGGCGAACTGAATATTGATGATTTTGGGATGCAGTGGGATTCAGAGGATCGGTAAAAATCTATTTACATCTTTGAGTAGAGCTATACATCGTTGGTTGTGACAAAATTCATGCTCCAAGTGGATTAGCGCGTTTCTGGGTGGCGCTGCACAGTGGGACCATTCTGAAAAAAGACGGTCCATACCTTTTTCTCCCCTTTCTCGTCGTTTAAGAGACTTAATGTCTTGGAAGAAGTTTCTCGTAATAATAGTCCACGCCTTTTGAAATAATTACCCAAATTTTTATTAAACTGGTATTACACTTACAAAAACTATTTTTTTTTACTGGTTCGAGATAATAGCTTTATGTCTTCAGCAATATTGTAGATAAACAAATTTTATGAAACTTTGCTGAATACACCAAACTTCCATATTATTATCTTCACAATATTTAAGTGATCTCTTGACAGGAGTACCTTAAAATCACTGTTTTGGCTTTTTTGGTCTTATAATCTCAACTAAACGGTTTGACATGTTCTACATAGATTTAAATATCATCAAATTACACAACTTTGCTTAAGACAACGGTAGTATGTATAGCTTTGTTTGAGTTTTACAGTGGTTTAAAGGCAACATATTACCAATACTTCAATTAAATTTTCTCTTGAGTTTGCAGGTTTAAGCAGCCACATTTAACATGGTTTGATCAGTCATGATGTGAAGTATAAACGAGCCAAAAATCTCAATCGGGTGTGGTCGGGCACTAGGGTTTTGTCAATAATATTTTCAAGATGTTCCTGTAGATTCGAAGAGATACTTCGAGTCTCCCCACACATGTGGTGGGTTAGGCAAAGAAGTGTGCGTTTGACTTACTTGTCGCATTTAATGGCCCTTTGTTCATTTC